TTGGAATCACCAATCAACCTAACACCACTAACTACATTTCTTTGGACTGTGGGAGGAAGCCAGAGTACCCGAAGAAAACCAACACAGGCAAGGGGAGAACATGACAGAGAGAGAGAACTATTTAAACATATAGATATGGATGTAAATTACATGAATTAAAAATTCCCCTCTTTCCCCTGCTTACCCCTTGTTCAAGCTTGGGTCCTCTGCTTGTCTACCACTACTGTGTCCTGTTCATAGCCATCACCAGTTTGTCTGTCTGTATCTGGAAGTCCCACAGGCTCTTAGTTTGGTCATTCACAACCACCCGTGTCCTGTTTTGACCTCAGGACTTCCAGGCCATACTCCGCACAGATGTTCCTGTATGCTATGCTGGCGACTTGGTTATGGCGTCCTATGTATGCCCTGTCTGTGGGCATCTTGCACCCTACTGTTATGTGGCAGATTGTCTCAGTGGCATCTTTACACAGACTGCACCTGGGGTCTTGCCTGGTGTGGTAGACTCCAGCTTCTATGGATCTTTTGCTCAGGGCTTGTTCCTGTACTGCCATGATTAGTGCCTCTGTGTTGTCTTTGGGACTTCCAGATACAGATGGGCAAACTGGTGATAGCTTACCAACCAGACATAACAAAGGTGAAAAAGCAGAGAACAGTGCCGTGGTGATACAATTAGCTATAAGAAGCGAGATTAGAAAGAAGGACGCTTGAGAAATGCCAAGGGCTGACAAAGACCTAGAATAATTGCAAAAAGTTCCTTTAACCTACCAGTTGGGTTGAAGCTCTGTGATCTGTAAAATAAAATGGGATGTAAAAATATTGTTTAAGAAAGGACCAATACGTTTCTTTATTGACCAATCTAAGGCAATCAATACTTTTGTTACAGTGTGCTTACCTGTTTTTCCACACCTGTGGACAAAAAGCATCAAGATTTTTAAATAAGAAAGAAAGATGCCTAATTTCAGCTTATAATTCAGTATACTGAAAAAAACAAACAAAAAACAAAACAATTTCCACTTGAAAGGCCTGCAGTGGGAAAGAAAGTCAACATACAGGCTTTACTCACAGTAATTAGCATAAGCTTCCTTTAACCATCCAAAGGAAATGGAAAAAGGGAAATTTTCTACAAGCAAACAAGTCGAAAGCTGATTCTTTTTTTAAGCAAATGTAACCATGCAGACGCCTCAGTTTGACATACCTAAAGACTGATATGTAAAGTTGGATTCAAACTACAAAAAAAATGTCATGAAATCCATTCAGAAAAGAATGACATGCTATTATGTACTGAGCATACCTGGACTTAAATTCTTGACACAGCAGGATGAATTATTTGGTTGTATCTCCATCTTCTCCTCATTTGAACAACAGCACTGAGTCTCAGTGTCATACTGGCTGTGACCACAGCACTCATGGTGACGGGAATTCCTCACCAGAATTGTCTTATTATCAGCTGGACCACAACACAACTGCTTGTCCTTATCAAAAACATCTGTTGAAAAGATCATTTATTTATTTTTTTTTTTTTATTTTTACTTAAAACATAACTCAACTGAGAAGCTGCTCCAATATCCTCAAAATGTTTGAATGGAGTACATTTCACAGAAATGTAATTTAGTCTTCTTTTCCAACTGTGTGTCTGCTCACCTTTACCACAGCATTCGGCCATTGGTTCACGTTTTGATATGATGGTTGATTGACAACATATTTCATTGATTGGGTTGTACACCTTTAGGTCACAGCACTTGGACACCTTTTCACTCAGACCCTGAGTAACACTGGCTGTAAAAACAAGACACAATCACTAGAACCACAGTCTAAAATCAGTACCAGGAAGTCCACAAGTTTAAAGAGAACAAAAAAGTTCAGTCTAGTGTGGTATTTTCATTTTTAGTTGAGCAGCACTGAGTCACTGGAAACCTAGAACAAAATATGAGATGGATGAGCTTTGATGTCCACTCAAAAAAACTGGGGAAAAATTATAAAGAAGGGAGAGGCATATCCAATTTTGACCTCAGGACTTCAAGGCCATACTCAGCACAAATGTTTCTGTATACTATGCCGGCCACTTGGTTATGGCATTCCAGGTACGCCCTGCCTGCTAGCATCTTGCACCCTGTTGTTATGTGCTGATGGCTCAGAGGCATCTTTGCATAGTCTGCAAGTCTGCACCTGGGGTCTTACCTGGTGTGGTAGATCCCAGGTAGGTTAACCTACCAGGTTGGGGTTCCAAGATGCTAGCAGGAAGGGCTAGCATCTTGGAATGCCATAACCATATACAGGGACATGCAGAGATAAATGTAGCTATAACAAATGTTGACAACATCAGGAAGAAACATGAGAAACTTGAGAAATACCTAGGGCTAAAAGAGGAGAGAGGACATGGAACCAAAACCCAGTTTATATGTTCTCTGGAGAACATTAAAGTTCCACACAGAAAGGCCCTAGCCAGATGTTGGATGTTGGACCTTCTTACTCTTAGACAACAGTGCTAAACACTGTGCTATTGTGCTTCCTTTCATTCTAAATTGGTACAATTCAACTCCAGTTTTAGTTATGTAGCTAGTTCATAAATTATTACCTGTGAGGTTGTGTTTACAACAAGTGGCTGTTTCAGGATTGTAAGGCTCGTTTCCACAACAAGACAAACTTCCACCTGGGTGAAGTTTGTTTCCACAGCAAGTAGCCTCTTGGATGTCATACACTGTTCCATCACAGTCTTTTCTGAAAAGCGAAGATAACCAAACCCAGGATATCAATACTGACAGTCATTTTCACAGACATAAAAGTACATATATATAGTATATATTAACTATAATCATCACATCATCTCTGTACAGATTTCCTCATTTTTGCTTTATTATACTGCCCTCTGATGGAAAACATGTTAACGTCTACATACAACTAGACCATCGGTGTGCATATAGATGCACTGCTTAGCTACAATATGACTGAAGGGATCGCGTTTTAACATCTCCCTGTCTGTGATTGGCTGGTTTTGTGGCACAAATATAACGGTGTACAGAAAGAGTTGAACGCGCACGGGCAGAAATGTTGAGATTGCGAGCAAGCGCAATGTGTTGTGTGTGGATAGTATCAAACAGTAAAATACATTTTTTGCACGCAGCAATGAATTTTGTTCACTCAAATTTAGCTTTTCGTGGCTCAAATCAAATTCTTTTTAATTTCCC